CTTTATTTATTCTTTTATCTTTCAAACAAATTTATATTTTCCCCCACAAAATTCACCTTCTTCTTCTACTTCTTCTTTCTTCTTATTTTTTCATCTCTTTTTCTTTTTCTTTTTTTTTTTTTAATCGAAAGATCGCAATTTTTGATTCCCCATTAGAGAGAAAGAAAGAAAGAGAGTCCACAATCTCAAAAAAAAAAAACAAACAAATACACAGACACATTTACCTAAGAGAATACACACACAAACAATACACGCGCGATTAATACACCAATTACATCGTATTCGTAGTACCTGCAGATATGATAATTACGTGGCGACGACCATCGGTACCATAAATAATAATAATAATAATAGTAATAATAGTAATAATAGTAATAATAATAATAATAATAATAATAATAATAATAATAATAAATAATAGTATAACAAATATTATACATAAAACTTGCATTTAAATAATGACATATAAAATAAGTATACGAAACCGTTTCTACCTCAACCTTTATAAAACCGCTTTAAACGCGGATGATCTATCGCGAGATACACACACACATACACACAAGAATACATACATCACATAGAAAGAAAAAAAAACATAACAACAAAACACAAAGAGACAAACACAAAACTCACATCCATCATTTTATAATAATCTTTTTTTAATTCTCATAGAGTACATTAAATTCCATATGATCTCTGATTATAAACACACACACACCCACACACATCATACTTACTAATGAATGAAAAAAAAAACAGACACGTACACATGTACACTGCACAGGTCACACATCTTACACACATGACACACGTTTTAGGACACATGTGAACACACATCTTAGAGACACATGAACACACATCTTAGAGACACATGAACACACATCTTAGAGACACATGAACACACATCTTAGAGACACATGACATACATGTTACACACATGAACAAGATGAATATAATATATACGTAAATGTAATATAAAGTGAAATATATACATAATATGTATATGTATAGGAAAGAATGAAATACTACTATCAGAATTCTACAACATACTTATACACACATACAAATTCTCATTTTTATCTTCCTATACCATTTTCTCCCATCCATCAAATCCCCCTTTTATTATTTTCCTTTCTTTTTCCCTTTTTTTTTTTTCTTCCACCAATTTTCTCAAATAATATGTGTAAATACAACCGATTATATTTATTTAATTATTTATGTTTCTATGCGCTGGACGCGTCAGCTATGTTACATGCAAATTTGCAAATTAAATCGAATAATAATTTCCTATTGATATAAAAGAAAGAAAAAAAAAAAAAGATGAAAGAACGAAAAAAAGAGTACACTCATTTTTTCAATATAATTATTATATATTCATATATATATATATATATATATATATATCTATACGTATCTATATATGTATATATTTATAATATATAATTCAAAATTATATATTATATCTATTAAAACATATATAATTATGTATATGTATATATATATATATATATATATATAGATATATAAAATATATATATTATCTAAAGATAAGAACATACTTGTTTAGAATATAAGAGAGAACATACAAAAAAAAAATGAAAGAGAGAGAGAGAGAGAGAGAGAGAGAGAAAGTTGTATGCTCGTCGATGATGTACGTGTGAGTGCGAGGAAGAGAGTACATGTGATAATAAAAAAAAAAGAAAAAATTAACAAGAATGAATGAACGAACGTATGGAAAAAAATAAATGGTAACAAAGATGAAAGATGAAAGAAGATAAAAAATAAAATAATACGATGGGAAAAAGAAGAACTGGGCCCCCCAAAATCGCGAACTCGCTATACGGCCCTGCAAATTTGCGACCGAGCGTTTAGAACCATTTATTGATAATAATAATATTAATAATAATGATAATGATAATGATAAATAATAACAATAATTATTATTATTCTCTCCTCCTCAAATAATAATAATATTAATAAATAATAATAATAATAATAATATATTACGAAATAAACACAAATTACAAAGAATCAAAGATGAGGATACAAAAAAAAAGGTATAAAAAAATAAAAAGGAACAAAAGTAAAAGATGAATAAAAAAAAGAAAAATTAAAGAACAAAGGAGGAAATATCTACCGACGAGTAACAAAATAATTAAATAAATAAGTAAATAAAATAAAATAAAATAAAATAAAATAAAAAACAAAACCCACGATACAATTTAAAATGATATACGAATGAGTGCGAATTTCGAATATTTGTCCCCGCCATAAACGGGAGATGATGGTGTTGGGGTTGGGGGTTGGGAGGAGGGTGAGAAATTGTGAATAATTATTCTTCGCGTTAGAAAAAATATCGCACTAGCGTATTATATATATAAAATGAAAAAAAAAAAATTACTAAAATATATATAATACACAGAGCACACGAATGAACAGAGAAAAAAATAGAAAAAAAAAAATGGAAGGAAGATACACACAAAAAAAAACATATATATATATATATATATATATATATACGTCATTATAAAATTAACATACGTGAGAGAGAGAGAGAGAGAGAGAAAGAGAGAGAGGATCGTTTCGAAGTGGACTTTTTTCAAACGACGAAGAAAAATTTCAACAAAATTTATATACACATATACATAAATATATGTGTGTGTTGTGTCTGTGTATGTATGAAATTTATTCGTCGTTCGATTTTTACAAAACGTACAAAAAAGTTGATTATTATTATTATTATTCACTTCGAAACGACAACATTAAAAATATACAAATTACAAAATGAAAGAAAAGAGAGAGGGAGAGAGATATATAAGAAAAAAAGAAAGAAAGAAAGAAAGAAAGAAAGAAAAAGAAAATGGACGTTTATATGAAGACGCCAATTTTTTTTTTTTTTTTTTTTGAATCGCGTAAATTTGCGTTGCTTTTTTCCTTTTATTTTTTTTTTTTTTTTTTTGAATCAAATCGATGTTCTTCGAATTTAAAATCAATATCGGAGGGTGAAAAATAAAATAAAATAAAATAAAATAAAATATAATAAAATAAAATAAAATAAAATAAAATAAAATAAAATAAAATAAAATAAAATAAAATATAAATTATAAATATTACAACTATGGTCGTGTTTATTTCGTTTTTTCGATGTAATTTTCAAATCCGGATTTAAAATTTGCCGGAAATATATCGATACGTTATATTATTATTATTATTTTTTTTTTTTTACAAATATTTTCTCTTGTTCTTGTTCTTCTTCCCCTTCTTCTTCTATTTCTTTTTTTTAAATCTTCCTTCTTCCGCTTTTGATTTTTGATGCGTTTAAAAAAACAAACGCACAAAAAAAAAAGAGATGGATTATAAAGAAAAAGAGTGGAAGAAAAAGAAAGAAAGAGAAAGAGAAAGAAAAAGAGAGACAAAGAGAGAGAGAGAGAGAGAGAGAGAGAAACATATATATATGTTTATGCACATAAAAATTGATTAAATGTTGCATCTGTCACACTTAACTCTCTAATTCTTTGTCTTTTTTATTTTTTGTTTTTTTTTTTCTCTAAAGAAAACCGAAGAAGAAGCGTCGGGGATGGGAGTGGGAGGGAAGGGAAAGGGGTGTGTTTTGTCACAGGGGGGGAAAAAAAAAATACGTAGTTACCAATTTTGTTTTTAAGTTGAAAGATTAAGTTTACGTTACGATTATATTGAAAATGAGAAAGAAAAAGATAGAGAAAGAAGGAAAGATTCACGTGGGATTATTAAGAAGGGGGTTTGTGTAGGGTGGATCGGGGTGCTGCTTCCGTTAATGAAAAAAAAAAAAAGAAGAAAAAAAAAACAACAAAAAAAAAAAAAAGAAAGGGAGATAGTAAATGTGTATCGACGTGACGTTTCCATTTGTGAAAAAGCAATGCGATCGTGACCGCCTTGTATAATTCTTTCAAAGGATTTTCTGTACACGCAAACATCTTCAGAAAAAGATAGAGAAAGGGAAGGGAAGGGTAGGGAAGGGAAGGGAAGGGCAGGGGTTAAGAATAAAGAAAGAAAAGGGGTGGAAATTGTACAAGGAAAGAATAAACTCGAATCGAGTTCTTCGAATAAATGTCAGGGCAAATACAAGAGCTTCACATTTTCATGATAAATATTTTATTTATACGAAGAGACAAACCGATTGTAATTTCTGAATCAGTTGTATGTGTACGCATCTGTAAGTGTATAAGTATATATGTGTGTGCGTGTGTGTGTGTATGAACGTGTGCATGGAAACACGAAAGAACAAAGTTGCGTCAAAGTGAAACATGTGTTACGTTTTAAGTGAACAATAATTGCGTTTTTATATTACGCTAAAAAAAAAAAAAAAAAAAAAAAATAAGAAAAAAAAAACATAAACTAAAACACAAACAAATAAATGAAAGTTCAATTTAAGTTGGTCTGTTAAATGTTACTAGATGTGTTTGAAAAAGAAATTATAAGATATGAGTGAACGAATGAAAGAGAGAGAGAGAGAGAGAGAGAGAAAGATTTAAAATAAAAAACATGTACGTCGAAGCTCTGACAAAAACAAAAAAAAAACAAAAAAAAACATCTTTTGCAAACTTGAATGAATATTGGATTGAAAGATCAAGAAAAAAAATAAAGAAAAAACAAAATGGAAATCTTTCTTCCCTCTCAAGATACGAAGAGAAATAAATGCGAAGTAGCAATTTTCTTTTCCTTCGTTTATAACCCCGAAACTACCCCGCCCACATCCCTATAAGAAAGATAAAGATAGGAAGTGTGTGTGCGAGAAAGAGAAAGAGAGAGAGAGAGAGAACAGAAATTGGGGCAGTGGTTAGTTTTTCGTCGTTGAGTATAACTCAAAAATCCTTTTTGTTTGTATAAAAATTAATCGAAATTTAATTAAACTATTAATAATTGTTCGATTACTGTAAAACATGAAGAAAAAAAAAATTACCATTAATTATAAATTACAAAAAAACATGAAAGTCAAGTGAGTTGGTGTCAAATTTTTTTTCCCCCTAAACATTTATCCCATTTCCATTTCCTTTTCTTGCTTTGTTTGTTTTTATTTTAGCCCCATGGAGGGAGGCCCTTTTTTGAAACGGGGAGCACCTTGAAAGAGTTTTTTTTTAATTCGAATTATCAAACGTAAAGACATTTTCTTTTTAATCATTTGTTTTTTTCAGAAATCAAATCGAAGGCTCTTTCCGCCATTGCAATCAAAACGGAATTTGGTGTACCGGAAATTGGTGAAGGCAAGATACTTGCATCCATTATTCGCAAACCATTTACTCCTCTTACTCTAAAAAAAAAAAACAAAAAACAAAAAACAAAAAATGAAAAAGAAACATGTAATAGTAACATTTCGTATTGTAATTGGTATCTTTTTTTATTCTAATTAATTTCACCTTAATTTTTCATCAACAACCGCTTTATTGTCACTGCCCATTCTGCAACTACCACAAGGATGATGACTGGTTACCCCACCTATTCTCATAACGCATTCCGAATATTCATAATCTCTGTAATCTTGTCTGAAATGTCGGCATTCCTCAAAATCCGGAAGATGAACTCGTGCACCAAATTCACGAAATTTCCTTGAATTTAAAGTCTCCACCGCCAAATTGATAGCTGCAAAAATATCATTTAACCTGAAATTTATTCATACATCTATGTTTTTTCTTTTTCAATTATTTTTCTTTACCATTATAAGTGCAATAAACGTCATTGTCGTGTTGAAGATACGCCGGATCAATTTTAGGTTGATCAAAAATACTTCGAGATCTCAATGTAATATTACCACGACTTTTTGGTTGCAAACAAGTAGCGAGATATAAAAAACCCTCATGTCCTGTGTCATTGTATGCAGGAAAAAGTGATCTGAAAGTCTCTGTTTGATAATTAGCAATGTCCTTCAATAATTTTTCATCAGTAGAAGCCATTCCGAATAGAATAATACCGCTATCGTTAACACGTGCAGTTGCCAAAACGCGATTGGTCGATAATGATCCTTATTCCATACAAAAATCAAATAAAAAACACAAAAAAAGATTATAACACCGTTGGATGACGACACAACAAAAAGAAAAAGAAAAAAAAATGATCGATGAAGGTTATCCTTTAAAATTACCGGTTCCAAAGATAAAGTACTTTGCCATTTCTTGAATCGATTGCATCTTTCTTAATGTCAAACTAACGGGTGCTTTCAAATTAACGTATATCGGAATATTCAAATGATCAAAAAGATTCTTCCCAACTTCTTGAAGATTACTAACGGTACGTATCTAGAAAAAATTAATTTATTATTTATATCAAAATTGTATATCAATCTTATGGTTTAATGATTAAAATAATACCCCATATTTGTTAAGTTCTTGTTTTGGTCCAATACCAGAAAGCATAAGTAATTGAACTGTATTAATGGTACCAGCACATAAAATAACTTCTTTTCTCGCATTTATTTTTCCACGTGAAGCATTGTTATAAAGTACATCAACTCCAACTATTTTGGTATCGTTAAACGATATCTAAAAAATCATATTATATGTAAAATATGATTAATTAATGATTTTAATTTATATTATATATAATATATAAAAAAAAAAAAAAAAATAACCAAGTTTGTTAATTTAAAACAATGATTTTAATTAGATTTGTACCTTAGTAACAAGAGTGTTCATCAACACGTGAAGATTATTTCGATTCAAAGAATTTAGTAAATATGCGTGATAGGTACTCCATCGATTTCCTTTTTTGGCAGTATAACTGGCCTTTTGAAACGTGGCGTCATTAGATCCGATCGAAAGTTCAGACTCCATGAAGGCCACAACTAATGGCTCGTTCGATGAAACGGTAGTCACGCTCATGGTTTCCGTGACTTTTTTAAAATACGGTATTAAATCACCATAGGACCATCCCTTAGGCCAACTTTTGTAATCATTTGATCTCCCGAAAGAATGGACGAGATAATTTATTTGACCGCTACCACCTAATCCTTTACCCCTTGGCAACGATTGTTGCTATTATAATAATAATTATATCAATAAATATAATAAATATGTTATATATTTGTATATGAATGTACAGAATCCAAACATTGTATAGAAATTAATGTTGAAAATGTGTTTCGGTAAATGTTTCTTACTTTAGGTGTTCTATTAGGGTTGCGTCAAGGTTTTTTTGAGAAGTAAGGTAAGGTTGTAAAGGGTATAACGGGAAAACGTCTTCCCCCTTATTTCTTATTTCGAAACAAACTAGAACTACTATTACTTTCTTCAACCCTTGCTACGTGAAAGTTTGGAAGATTAAGTTCTTGTAGTTAGATGGCTGAGAAAACACGTGTATGTGTGCGTGCACATTACCGAAAGTAAAGATTATTTCGTGATCGTACGAAGGTACACGTACACCTGTCGTGATCTTTAATTATTTTTCCCTACCCCTATTCCTCATGTTCTAAATGCACAACCAACTGAAGGTTTTATTTTAAATTAACTTTCTGAATATTGTTCTATACAATGCTTGAATTTGTTTGTATTGATCGTAACACATATTTAATTTAATTGAATTTAATTAAAAATAACAAATAATAATCTTTAAATTTTCGAGGAAAAAATGTATATATGTAAATGCGAATAGAAAAAGTAACGTTTACGTGACTCCAAAGTCCCAACGATGAGAACTTTTGGGTCTCTGTTTTATAAGCCCAATCTAAGCTGCTTCCTTGCATCAACGGGGCCATCAACGGCATCACCGACATCCAATTGAAATAACCACCCGCTTCCACAAGCAGTACCGTGGTATTTGTTAAATCCGATAGACGTGATGCTAACACGCAACCAGTCGTACCAGCTCCAACTTTACAAATCAAACAATTTTAACTAAACAACGTGGATAATCGTAGTTTTATTTAACGATACAAAATTTACGATTTTAATATTATATTTATGTAAAATTGTTAATAAACAATATGACAAATTGCATCATTCTATCTTCTGATGCAACTTTTCATAAGTGGCGTATTTATTTCAATTAACAAAATAAGTGAATATTTTTTTATATTAAATTTACTATTAAAAAAAAAAAAAAAAAAAAACAATAACAAATTGTTCTCACAGTTTAAAAAGAATATCAAAAATTTCACTTATACTCACCTACTATATAATCATAATAACTATTTGGAGTTTCGATGATACTGATTGGTTTACTAAATTGATAATGATAAAATAAAGATAATATAAGAATCATAAATGATATCAAAATATAATTCCGCATGTTCTTAACGTTAAATAATAAGTTAACCGTTGTTATATATCACATTGGAAAAGAACGAGCGATATTATCGGACAGTAAAACCTACGCACAGTGTACTCGCTTTAGTAGAAGCGCAACGTGCTATAATTGACATATTTAATTAGCGTCTTGTAATCGATATACGTGATCGTTGATTTTTCTTATCGCATATACATATACATATATAATCTTAGGTACATTTTTTAATGAATTAAGAAAAAGGATTTAATTTATTTTTATAATTTAGACAATAATAAGAAGAAAAAAAAAATCAATGTACGTAAAATTTAATAATAAATTATTTAATATATCTACGTAATAATTTATCAATGAATTACCGACATATCTACGGAGTTGTTTTGTCAATGATTTTTACCGACATATACGGGAAGAGTTACAATCATTGTACAATTTTTCAATATTTTTACTTATAAAATTTGTAACAAAATATATAAAATAGATATATATATATATATACACCAAATTTTGTTCAACAATGGTATATAATATACATGAAAGAAGAATAGAAAAATTGTATTTATTCTGTTCCAAAATGAATCAATTCTGCATCAAGACTTTCCAGATCAATTATTACAGCAGTATGAGATGTAGAAAACTGTGGAATACAAACTAATCTAACAACTTGATTTTCCTCACCTATTAATAAAAGAAGAATTAACATAATTGATTTTAATTTTTAATAAAACATAACCTAAGAAAACAATAAATACCTTTAAACAATTTAGTTTCGTATTCATTGGCATTCCCTGTAAAATATATATCAGGACATTGTTTTATTACGAATAAATCTTTATCATTATACGGGTAAGATGGTAATGTGTCTGGTCCAGTTGGACACAAATGTCTCCAAATAAGAGTTTTTTCTAGCCATTGTAACGGAGTCATATCTTTAGAACCAGAAGCTTTCATAATATCTTCAATAGATTCACCGCTTGAACCCATTACCATACGATTACCAATTTGGCTGGCCCATGGATTAGAACCACCTTGAAAACTTGTAAGTCTAAATGGAGATATACATTTGAATGAATTTTGCTAATATCATTTAATCATTTATCATTATATATTAATTAAATAATACCTGCATGACTGTGGTAACATACAAGGATGAAGTGGTTTTTGTGGTAACAGTCTATTACATGGATCATGTTGACCCGGCATTAAAGTAACACCACAACACTTTGCAATACTGGAAAGAAAAGCATCTAACTTTTGTGTCGCAGTTACAGTTTCTACTGTATGTTTTTGTTCTTCTAGTTTCAATGCTGACATGTTCAAACGTTCATATATCTTTTTGCTATTACTAATACTATTGCCTAAAATAATATATACCATGTTAATTGATATAATATTCAATTCATTGAGATAAGTGAAAATTACCTGCTATAATAAGCCGTACAATGGAAGCTTCCTCTTTTTGAGCTGTTATATCACCAGCCATTCCACATATCCATTCTCGTAATAATTCTACTGCTATGTCATCTGAATTTTTAATAAAATTTAATCCAGATATTAGAACGATCTTCCCACTTGAATTTGATTTTACAGTTGGATGAGTTTGAGGTGCACACCCTGGGAAACACCAATCTTTTACCTAAATAAAGTTATGTATAAAAGATAGGATCTCAACAATAATAATACATAATACTACATTTTGAAAGATATTTGAACTTACAGTAAATGTACCATCTTTGCCTTCATTTCCTAATACAGCGCATATTAAACCAGTAACAACGCTTTCAAGATCAACTAAATTACCAACCAATCTAATACGTAGTTCTTCATCTTCTAAGAATACTTGATCATTTTCAGAACAATAATCAGATTTCTCAGGTTGTATTGTCAATCTGTTGTGTTCACCAACCTCTCTCAAAATTGATGGTTTCCATTGCTGGTGTTTATATAATGTTCCAATTATAGCACAAGTATCTCCCACAATAGTATCCAAATCAGCTAATTTTGCAATTGTGACATTTTCTAATAAACAAAATAAAATATACATATTACTATTTGATTGCTTAGACATCTGACATAAATCTTTTCATAAATAACATTTGTATCTTTACTCCATTTTGCTTTGACATTTGCTGTCAAAACTTCTCCAAGTTCTTTGAGTCTGGCAACATAAACGTTTGAATATTGTTTTGAGTAATCACTGACTTTTTGTGTCAAGCTAAAAGATAAATCTTTATATACAACGGAATTTCTTTCTAGAACATCCACACATCCATCTTCTTCATGTTTCATTCCATTTTTATCATTATTCAAATTATTCTGCGTCATTTTGAGTGATGATAATAAATAAATATTAAATTTTATCAACAATTTGTCTGTCACACTTGTAAAACTTATATTTTTCTTTCTTTCTTTCTTTCTTCCAATGTTTGTGTGATGGTTATAATTTTTTGAATGCAAAAACCGGAAGTGAGTTCAAATTGATGATTCAATTATATGAAAATAAAATATATTAAATAATATTATTTTTTTTCTTTTAAATATATTGTATATATTTTAATAAGACTGTATTTTTGTAGAATGAATATTTATATTTTTAGATTAAATTGCATTGAAGTTACTTACGGAGTAAATGTTGAATTAATTCGACGACTTGACACTAGGTTTCGTGACGAAACACTTAACACATTTATGTGCAATTCTTCTATTATTTTTGCTGTTCACGATGCGTATTGAAACGTGTTATTTTTGCTCTTCTCGGATATTTCCGGGACATGGAATTCAATTTGTTAGAAACGATTGCAAAGTAAGTAATTTGTAAATGTATTATTTTATTTTTCTAACAAATTTCGTATCAAATAATCGATAGAATTGGATTTCACTAATTTTTGAGGTTATGTCACGTGTTTCTGTATTGATACTGATACTGATATTACTATATGAGAAACGTTTGTTATAAACAATTTATTAATTATATTATCATTTATAGATTTTTAGATTTTGCCGGTCAAAATGTCACGCGGCATTTAAAAAGAAAAAGAATCCAAGAAAGGTTAAGTGGACCAAAGCTTATAGGAAGACCGTTGGTAAAGAACTGGCAATAGATCCGTCATTTGAATTTGAAAAGAGGAGAAATATTCCAGTTAAATATAACAGAGAATTATGGACAAAGACTGTGGAAGCTATAAAGAAAGTAGAAAACATCAAACAGAAGAGGTCGAATTTGCATATTATGCAACGTTTACGAAAGGGTCGTACACTGGAACGAGAAAGGGATATTAAGGAAGTACAACGTGATCTATCTTTGATAAGATCACCAGCTGCTGGACTCAAGGAAAGAAAGAAATTGGAAGAGACAGTAGAAGAGGATGTTGAAATGCTAGAATCTGACAACGAAATGAATGCTGAACAGTTGCAAGAAAATTAATTTGTTGTTTTTTTTTCTATTTCAATTAATACACAATATGAATACAGAAAACTTTGTATCATTTAGGAATAGTTAATATTTAACTGTTAAACTTGTACATAAACTGAATATATAATTAGACTAGTTTTTATAAACAATTTCTACGTGAATTTATTTCTTCATATTATTTGTAAATTAAGCTTTTAAGATCATACACGTTTAAAAGTAATTGTAAGCAAATATTAGATTACTTTTTGGTACCAACTGGGCTTTATGGTAAACTATGGTTTACTTACATTCACATAGATGGTAGCACTAATACGATGCGTACAATGTAATTTAATGAAATGCAAGAATTAGATTACATATAGCAGTCTTACAATTAATCTTTTAATTATTATTCATGAAGTTGTTCCAAGTAATATATTATATTATAATCTACAAGATTCTGTAATAGCTAACACAATCTTGGAACATTAGAGACTCAGCAAAAGTATCCTATATACATAATTTTATCAGATGAAATGTTATGTTGTAATTACCAACTTCAGTATAAAATTATGAAATGATTTGAAGAGGAAACATTCCTTGTTTAAAATGCAATCTTCGGGTAAGAACCAGTTGTAGCTTGACTGAAAATGCATTAAAAATATAATCGAAGTGGGAAAGGAGCTTTCAACGTAGTCGCTTTTATAAGAACGTAAGACACACATTAGCAGCAGTAAGGTGAAGAAAAGGAGCTTTGGGAAGTGTTCGTAGTCCGAGGTGTGACCAAACCTCGATGACACTGCAAACACTCGTTTGGTGTTTCCAGCAATTACCAGACAAACCGAGGAACTCTGTTTGCTTGCGGTACGAAATGTGTTACAACAACACGGTACGGCAAAGGAAAAAGAGACCCATAGCAGAATACCAGCAGAAGAAGAATAAGAGGAGGAAGGTTCATCATAACCAGGGCCGCCATTCGAAAGGATTTTCAAGGGCGTGAGCTTGCAGATCTCGTCTAGCCTGTTGAACGAACAAAAGCGACGCGACAGGCCAATATCAGACGAAGAATCAGCCTTTGATTTTTGCCGACGTCCTTGTTTGCTCGAGCTCGACCCAAGTCTCATGTCAGATGTCCAAATTTCTCTCCTAATGGACTCGGGAAGATCGTTTTCGAATCGGTTTCTTTGCAAGCTACTGTTGCTATTTATAGAATAAATTCTTTTTTTCTTATAACAAAATAGATACAGATCTATTTTTTTTTAGAGATCACTTTGACTTTATTCTCCAATAGAATGTTATTATAAATAAATTATGATTGACGGGCGAGTCATCGTTAGTTCTCCTCCGTATTTGAATAGAATGCCAAATATGAAAATAGGAGCAAATATCATCGATTCGTGAAAGTATGTATTTTAAATTAAGATACTCGAGATGATAGATGGTTCTTTCTCTCTCTCTCTAAGAGAGAGAAAGAATCGCAACGTAATTAAAGAGGAGAAGTCTCGAGGAATCCCCGTTATTCATTTCGAGGATCCTTCAACTCGTAAGCTCGGCACGAGATGATTCGTGTTTTCGACCACACGCAAAGTTTTAGTTATGTTTGCAGAGGCAACACACGAGGTAAACGCGTGTTACGAATTGTAATTGCGAAGTAGTGTCTTACGACAAAAACGAGCTAGTTTCTTGTTGGTTGTTACTTGCCTTGAAGTAGCTTTAGCTATGTACGAATTTCTTCTTTTATTCTTCTTCTTTTCGGGGTGGTCTTACAATGGCCGTTAAGTCCCTTTTTCAATGCAACGAAAGAAGGTCGATGAGACTTTTGTAAAGAGTTTCTTCTCAACAATAACATATTATGGCAACTGATCATCCCTACAATGAACTGAGACACTTTTGATTCATGCAAAAACTTTCACACATATATTCCTCTGACCTTACGTAGGATTCCTTTTTAACAGCACCCACACGTCACGGATTTATTCTGATTATATCAGCTTTTTATTATCACCATTATCAAACTGAATTTAAATTGAATTCGTAAAACTTGGAATTAACAATTCTCATGGCTAGATTTTATGTATTTTTGTTCTCATCCTCCCATATGAAAGATTTAACAAATGATTTTTCTAACACGTTTCGAGGTAATTGAATTTGAATAAAAATCTATTCGACTGAATGGTTGTTTTACCATTTGAAAAAGAGACAAATAATATTAGGGGAGGATTCAAACGACTGTGTTTTCTCGTTTGTAATTCTACGAAAGGTGACGATGACAAAATGTCTGAAAAGGAAAATGTCGCTATAATAACAGTTAAACGTTCATTCAATGATCGTGCTGCACTGTGCGGGTTCGGATAAATAAATAAAAGAAATTTAAAAGCAAAGTTCTCGAAATAAGTTTGTCTTGTTTCACATTGGTTGCGCGGCAAAGAAGGTTGGATAATATAAGCGAAGGTGGAAGAAGAATTTAGTCTGACAATATTATTTTATGGCCAACGAGCAATGGTACGTACCATCATACCAGGGTCCCAATATTCGACCAAGAATGCACGTGTCTTCAAAAAAAAAAAAGGGTCCTTGGGTCTTACCCCAGCAAATTCAGAATAAATTGTCTCCGTTTTGAATATTCTTCTAATATAATATGATGATGTTAGTAGTCGTGGTTGGTGATGGTCTACGTTTTATACTCTCTCTCTCTCTCTCTTTCTCTTTCTAACACACAAAAATGATTAAGAGTCATCGTTTATTTCTTGACAATATTTTGTTGCCCCTCAAACATATCTTAATTCGTCTGAATTAAAATCATTCTTTTTTTCTTCTTCTAATCGTTTGCTGCTACTGCTTCGTTGACCATAGAAAATAAAAAAAAAAAAATAAAAAAAAAGAAGAAAATATTCTTAGTCATCCGAAATCATTAATCTTCTCGAATTTTATTTGTCTAAGTCAACGAAATAGGTTTTTACTCGATTTTAACCTACCGCACAACTCGTAACTTTCTATAAATCCTATATGTAGATTTATTTTAGTGGGTAAAAAAGAATCCTATCGTCAAAATGAAGGGCGTTTAATTAAATTTCTATGTCCACTTTTATCGTTTGGAATGGACACTTACCGATACGAGATTATCTCTTTACTCTGTTTATTAATCAAATTTTAAAACACTAACTTCTCTCAATGTTTTTCAACATATACATTCTTTACGTTCCAACATAATAACAATAATAATAATAATAATAATAATAATGCATATATATATATATATATATAGAATAATGATATGATTTTTGACATATATAACTCAATGGATAATAAAAATAAAATTCTTAAAAGAAAATAATATTAATTTATAATTGGAAAAAGTGATCACAATTTCAAATAAATTATAAATATTAAACTTATAATTTATATATTAAATTTAATATATAATATATAAATATAAAATATATAATATAATAAATATATTATAAACTTAAAACTTTACTTTCAAACTGTACAATATGATGGAAAATTATATTTCTAACATTCATCTTGGAAAATCTTAATAAAACAAAAAACCCGTACAAACTTTTGTGATTTCGAGCCTAATAAAACCATAGAAACCAAAAAAAAAAAAAAAAAACGAATAAAAATCCATAGAAAAAGGAAAGGAAATAACGATGAAAACGAGTTTTGCGTTATCCGATGTGAGAGGGACGAAAGAAAATGTTGTGTCGCGTTTCGATCGAAAAGTAAGAGGAAGGAGGTGAAGTTGGAGGGGGAGGAGGAAGAATCGAGAAAACAGAAGGCGATGATCGGGTGCGGCTAGGGCGTCGAAAGCGGAGGCCACGAGAGGAATGTCAAACATTCACCTGTCTCCTTGCTGAGAAAGAGAGAGAGAGACTCCCATCTCCGGAAATCTTTTTTTCCCTATGGGGACCCCATTACGTATGCGGCTGCGTTTTGAAACCTTCCCATCTCCCTACCCCTCCGCCTACCCCATCACTACCCCTCTAAAGAAGGAGAAAAAGTTTCTTCTTCTTCTTCTTTTGCTTTCTTCTCTTTCTTTTCTTATTTTTTTTTTTTTTTGTAACATAACGTAGGGTCTCTTTCGTTATCGGTGAACGCCTACCAATCGGAATAGGCGCCGTGATCCTTGGCAATGATCGGCCTTAGTGATCTTTCGATCTACGATGACGTGCCCGTCGTTGAGATCTCAAATTAAACCAAATAAATGACTCGACTAGAACCACTGTCGATAACATGACGGTTTATGGTTGCTCTTTTATATCCTATCTAACTCATATATATATATATATATACTTTAGGACATATATTAATATAAACTAGAGAAACATACTTGGAGTGAGCATAATATATTCAATATGGATACTTCAATATGGAATCATTTATTAAATCATCCATAATATCTTTTTTGATACTTTATATTATATAATATATCAATATTGATATTGATCTAATAAATATAGTAATAGTAGTAATATATTTATTATTTTTTGTATTATTATATTTCAAGAAAGATCAATGAAAAATAAATTGTAGATTGAATCATTAAAAATTTATTCACTTATTGTTAGTATTTTGGAATTTTTTCAAAAAGTAAATTAAATTACGATACACTTTATTATTATTATTATTATTATTATTTTAAATATATTTTCTAACACTAGATTTTAGATTTCTTTTTTTTTTTTTTTTTTTAAATAATTACGTTTACTTTTCCCGCGATCACTATAAAATAATAATTTATAGGAATAGAAAGTAAAGAAGATAAATTGTACAAGATAGAAATATTTTTTGTAGTTGTTGTTGATCGTAAGAGCAAATCAATTTGATCGACATGATCTTTGTGATCGTACACCACTACCACAATTACCACGAATCTTTGGAATAATCCTGTAACATGGTAGCTAACCTTCCTCCCCCTTTTCTCCCCCTTTTCGTAGAAAAAAAATTCAATCTGTCGATCTTCAAAGAGATTCTATCTAATCCGTTTAAACGATCCCAGGTTTAGCTTTTGAACGGTGTGCATTAATCCTCGATGCACACGGGGCGTTTTTTTTATTATGTGTGGGAAGCTATACGTGTATATATATATACACATACTATACTCTAGTATAAGTTGACATACAAGTAAACTATTAAAGAGAGATATTATGCTTGATAGAATACCTTC